AATGTTGTGTATTGGACTATTGGTTACTGTTTGCTTATGTATTATTCGGGTGCTGGCTGCAGGTTAAATAGTATTCCAGATGCCAGCCCAAAATTATGGAGTATTCCAGATGCCACTGAAAATTAGAGAGTATTCCGGATGCCAAAGGGGGGCATGGACCCCCTCCTTTATGTTATCTTCAAGATCCTAAACTTTCACTCCGCCCTCATATAGCAGTTTCTGACTAATGGTTCGACTATAGCGAGTAGAATGAATCTAGCATGAGAACGTGGTATAACTAGCATAATATCATGCATACATTGCTACCAGAATCTAGTGATTTTGGACAGAGCACGTATGTATATATGATACCTACGTGCTCTGATTTGGCTCTGGTTAACTGGTTTTGGATCAGAATAGAAAACGCTAGCGCCATCTTCTGGCTAAATGAGATGCGATGTGAGGAAAGAGCGGCGGCGCCACTTGGTGGCGATAGCAAAGTCGCGGACATTCATGTGTTCTTAGCTTAGTCGGACTCCAAGGTAAGATATTTTCAACTTGTTTTGAACGCTGTTAGTGTTATTAAAATAACAAAGTAAAGGTTAGCTAAGTGGAAACAAAAAAGGGACCAAGTGATCACGTTTAATGCCGACGTACTGTCTACTCAGTAGACTACTGCTGTAACCACCCATTTCCCAGAATAGGAATTGCTTCGCCGTCCGCGAGTTTTTAAACCGTAGGATGGCGACTGGAGATTGATAAATTATTCATGACATCACACACATGGTTCGCGTTTCTGATTCGTTGCCGGTCGCTGCTTTACATTACATTTTACTATATTTTATGGAAGACCAACAATAACATTCTCATGCTGAATTGAGTTGAATGTCGTGGATAATTCGTCCGAGCATCGGACACCTGTTCGTATATGCGCTATTCGTCCGAGCATAGCTACGGTCCGAGCCACAGGCACTTGAAGCGTTTCAACTGTAAACACACGCCGCCGCCATTGCGCGCACACTGACACATAAATATATATATATATATATATATATAATATATTTATGTGTCAGTGTGCGCGCAATGGCGACGGCGTGTATTTACAGTTGAAACGCTTCAAGTGCCTGTGGTCCGAGCAGTCGCGCAGCGTGCATGGTATGCGTCGCTTTCCCATACCATAGATTAATTTGGTACTATGACACGCGTATATAACTATAAGATAGCCGAGTCGGTCTAGAGCTAGTGTTAGGTTAGGGTTGGGTTATGGTTAGGGTTAGGGATATGGTTTTGGGCTTGTGAAATGGTCTTGAGTGAAGTGAATTATTACTTTGCACAAATCGGAAACGCGAACCATGTGTGATGTCATGAATAACTTATCAATCTTCAGTCGCCATCCTACGGTTTAAAAACTCGCGCGCCGTCCGCCACCCACTCTGTGACACTGGTACCATAGACTCTCTAGAGTCTAGATAAAAGGCTAATCATCCAAACATACATACAGATCACATCCGTTGTAACTTATTGAAATCTCGTTGGAAAACGACGTCTTTTAGCCTTATATAAAACAATTATCTTTGGCGTTATGAAAAAGGCATTTGTGGGTGACATCCCATGTCTTTTAACACCAGAAGTTATCGGTAAATCTTCTCATTTCATTTGTCACCCCATTTTTTATGGGCAGCATTTCGCATGCATAAATCGCTTGATGTGACCATAGATATATACAAACACAATATATGTGTTTATGTACATCTATTATGTGACTCGCGTGCTGCTGTAGAAACGCGTACGCGTTTTTTTCCTTTGCCATAGGAATGGATCTCTCGACGTGATTGATAAATTATTGTAATAATGTTAATAGAACTGACAATATAATGTGAATATACGGATTAATCATGATTCATTGCGGTTGTTCTTCATCAAATGCGTCTGTTATTTACAGATATAAATGTTTATTTATCAAGTATATGACGTAATTTTCTTGCGTTGTTTCATTTTCTGTTCTGCCGCTATGAACATATCCGGTCACAATTCGCTTACTCACGATAGTGCGTAATTTATTCTGGATATACGGCGTTTGACTTCAGACTTGATATCACGAGTATGTTTTATATATTTGTGGTCTATTAATGTTAATCAACATAATATTGCGCCCGTGCTCTGGCTGGAGCAACGTCTCCCAATATCCAGGTTTTATTTAGAAATATTGTAAATCTTGCTTTCTAATATTGCAAGCTTTTCCCTTTCAGTTGCCTATTTTAGTGTAGTAATCATATTCTCTATAATAAGCCCATTCTTGACCAATCGCGTGGGAAATGTGGGACACTGTGAGCGATATGATGTTCGTGTTGCCCGCTTGGTGACGTAATACTTGTATATTATTCTTGTACATAAAGAATGAGTAAGCGGGTTTAGTAAAAGTAATTGTCATCATGTTTTTACTGTATAGTTAAAACAAAATATACGGTAATTTTGTACGTGGTGACAAACTATTAAATAAAGGTTTAGTCGATTGAGGAACATTTTGTTTCTGGTGTTTGTAAATCTCTGAATAGTAGTATATAGTATTAGAGCGCCTAATCACATCAGATATAACAAATATTGCCATTTACTTACAATTATTCACGTGAATTATTTCATTATGCTCTTTACTGTACATGCATCATTGCGGTACCTGAATCTATTGACGTAATATGTTATTCATGTCATTATATACATATCAGAAGTAGATAATAGGGATTCCCTATTATCTACTTCTGATACATATCGCAGATCGTACGCGGATTAAAAGGGGGTGCAGCCCCTACCCATCTTCCACCAAGCAAGAATATGAATGAAAAAAGCGTGATATTTTAAACAAATTACTGTCAGATACAAAGTAAATTTCACCTATGAGATTTCATTAAATATTCGGGGATTACCCCTACCACCACCACAGGCTACACAACCTCGTTGCTCGAAGGCTGCACGCTATATTTCTTTAATTTCTGGATCCTCCCCTGTAAATACTGGTAGGCCCTATTCCATGTAGGATATTCCTTCATGTAGTAGCCAAATAACCAGCAAAACGCACGCGCGCAGGCATGCATGCATTGCAAATGCAACGAGGGAGAACCTGGGAGAGTGAAATGTGAGCGACCCCGAGAGATAGGGGAGGAAAAAGCGACGATAAGGGACGAGAGATGAGTTGAATGACACACGGGAATGAATTTGAAATAGGTGGAATTAGAAACACGGTTATTTCTGACTTATTGACGGAGGCAGCCAAGGAGGAACTGGCGATTAGCGTGAAAGCCAAAGCCAATGCTATGATATTAACGCCGCTTATATCAGCTATCCCTGTGGTACGTTGGTATCTTTATGAGGGGGTCAAAGCCCTTTTCGTACGCCGGATTCCGGCCTATTTAGAGTGTATTCCGTACGCCGAGGTGCGGTACGCCGTACGCGGCGATGACAGTATAACGTATTGCGTACGCGAAATAATTGATACTATGATCGGGGATTGTGTTTTTTTCTGAACTTTTCCTGCCCATTTTTTAATAAATGTTGGATCTATTTACCCTGCTAACTGGAAACGAGACTGTCCCCGCACGTAGGATCGCGAACAGACGGGAATCAGTCGAATCCAGTCGGTGTACCAGTCTAATGTTAATGAATGTTAATGAATTATTTGCGTTGGGAAAGCGACGTTGTGATGCGACGTTATTCATGTTGTTTTGTGCACCAGCGGGCGGGGCTGCTGCGGTGTACTTGTTTTGTTGAAGATGCAGCATTATGAACCGGCCAGATTTACGACGTAAATTGATCGGGCAATAATAGGACAAAATAGAGTTAGGAGAAACATAAAGACCTTGGTAGCTAAATTCTTTCGCTGTTTAGCATTTTTTATTATTGAGACGTTCCAAGTGTCTGGGCTGTGGCTATGGTACCAGTGTCACAGAGTGGGTGTGCGGAACGCGCGCGAGTTTTTTAACCGAGTAGATGGACGACTGAGATTGACAAGTTCTTCAATGACATCACACACTGCGTTCGCGTTTCGATTTGCTGCAAAGTAATAATATCAACTTCACTTCAAGACCATTTCACAAGCCCAATAAAACCATATCGCCTAACACCTAAACCATAACCCACCCTAACAGCTAACAAACTAGCTATAGACCGACTCAGGGCTATCTATAGTTATACTAGCGTGTCATAGTACCAACATTAATCTATATGGTATGGCGAAAGCGACGCCAACCATGCACGCTGCGCGACTGCTGCCGAACCACAAGGCACATTGAAGCGTTTCAACTGTTAAATACACGGCCGTCGCCCATAAAGCCTTATCGCCATCGGAACAAAACAATGCGTCATGGATAGCGAAAAGCGGGCCATTACTAGCGCGCCTGCCGCACGAGCGAGTTAGCAGCGCGCCTGCACGCAATAGGCGTCAGTATGCATGCGCGATTTACCGTTCGCATATATTTGGTAATTAATTAGGACTAAATCGCTGCTTCAAACAAAACTGAAAATTTACAGAGATTATAGCTAAGGACAATACTTGTCGTATATTCATCTTAAATTTCTAGAAATGTAACTCAACTCGTTAGCCAGAATATGATAGCTTAGTATCCTTTCCTATGCACCCAGCCGTTCGTTTATAGCCGGCTGCACGCAAATTAGGCGGGCCTTATGCGCGATCCGTTCGCAATATATTGTGGTAATTTAATATAGGGGACTAATCGTGCCTTCAACAAACTGAAAATTAACAGACATTATAGCTAGACATTTGTCTATATTCCTTATAATTTTCCAGAAATGTAACTCAAACCCTTTTGGAAGATATAATAGATTAGTATCCTTTTCTTTATCACCCAAGCCGTGCGTATAGCCGGTGATACGCAAATAGGCGCCTCATGCGCGATACCGTGTTGGCATATATTTGCGTAATTTAATTAGACTAATCGTGGCTTTCAACAAATCTGAAAATTAAACAGACATTATAGCTTAAGACATTTTGTCTATATTCCATTATGATTTTCCAGAAATGTAAACTCAACTCCTTTGAAGATATAATTAGTAAGTATCCTTTTCTATCACCCAGCCGTGCGTATAGCCGGTGTACGCAATTATGGCGCCTTTATGCGCGATGTACCGTTCGCATATATTTGGTAATAATTAGACTAATTCGGCTGCCTCAACAAACGTGAAAATTAACAGACATTATAGCTAATGACATTTGTCTATATTCCTTATGATTTCCAGAAATGTAACTCAAGCTCCTTCTGGAAGATATAATAGTTAGTATCCTTTTCTATCACCCAAGCCGTGCGATATAGCTACGGCTGCACGCAATTAGGGGCCTAGCGCGATACGTTCGCTATATTGGTAATTAATTAGACTAATGGGTCGGCTTCAACAAACTTGAAATTTAAACAGCACATTATAGCTAGACATTTGTCTATATTCCTTAATGATTTCCAGTCGAAATGTAACTCAAACTCCTTTGGAAGAATATAATAGTTAGTATTCCTTTTCTATCACCAAGCCGTGCGTATAG